TCCTGCCTGAGAGTCTAAGGAATGTCAAATGTGTGTGTGCTAATCTTTTTGTGTGTGCTTGTGTGCTAATAAATGCTTTCGGAAGACGTCAGTCGGAGGAGAGTGAACTGAGACCCGTGCTTGGTGTGTTTTCATTTCCTCTCCACTTTGCAGAGTCTATATTGATTGTTTATGATTGGTATTGGTGTTGATCGATTGATTACTATAACCCCCTGTGCATTAAACTTTCCCTAAGGTAATCTTGGATTGATAAAAATACCCAACAGTTTTATTGAGATTTTCTTTTCAATTAGTTGCTTTTAGTCAGGCTGTAGATGCCAGATAAACTGGGTTATAGATGCATGTACTGTCTTCACATACAAATATAAAGTAATGATTGTAAAATGTATTCTACTAAACATAATAGATCATCATTCAAAGCATAAACAGCTACATATTTTCTTCAAGGTAAGCTGGAGCAGAATTCTAGCTTTCAATAAACCACTTTAAAATGGATCTTACAACTCGAGTTTAGGGCTTCTTGTAGGACTTAAAAGTTGTTAAATATGCTTATATTAGAGCAGTGTGTTGCATTGCTACATCAAATTTATTGCTATAATATATTATAGTAATGTATGTGGTCTAAATGTGTTCTACAGTGTGATAGGACTGGTGTGTTCCTGTAATGTAGATGAATGTCACGGGTGTCTGTCTACCTACAAATGCTCGGAAAAAAATAAATAGGCTACTTTGTGAAGGAATTAGGACATAACATATAATATAATGTATAATATTATTCAATAATTACCAAAAATTGCCAGGGGAAATGTGACAGTATTTAATTTTTGTGATTTGTCCCACCATACACCGTTCAAACTGACTTACGGCACTGGGATGTTTGGAAATATCGAGAGCTCCATGAACCACGTGACCGCGAGTTCAAAGCGTGTCACAACTCTTTCTTTCTATAGCTCTGGGCAGGACGAAACAGGGAGGACGGCGGTGGGGGTGTTACGTTATACGCTAGGCAGGATAGTTTTTCTCTGCTTTTCTACGATGGTTGGCTTAAACTTCTTCACCACGCCACTAAGTCATGTTATCAGACATGAGTACCACAAGTGCATATTTGCCACAGAACTCAACTCACGTATCCAGAGCTTTTTGCATAGTTTAGAGGAGTGAGTCACACGAGCATAAATAGATGCCAAATTGCGAACTGGCTACGCAAAATGCGTACAGGTTGGCAGGTCTGCTACACTATTATCTTTGCTTAATACATTTAACTCATATTCTGGTTACAAATTAAACCTTCACAAAACTCTAATTCTTACCTTTAATTAGAAACCAAACAAAAATATTATTAAACTCCTAAAGAGTAATTGGAATAAAAATGTAATTAAATCTTTACGGGGTCCTAATGCCAAAAGAATTAACTGACATTAGTAAACTTAACTATACCACCTAAACAGTTAACATTAAATCAGATCTGAACCAATGGCTACTGCCAATGAATATGCATAACACGATTAAACTAATCAAAATGAGGGTGCTACCTAAACTGCTTTATCTATTCCTGGCATTGCCTTCTGAGGTGTCCTCCAAGCAATTCATTGAATAGTATAGAATGATTTCAAATTTTATTTGGGGGAAAACAAAAGCCAAGAATAAAATATACATATGCTACAATTAACCAGAAAAGAAGGTGGCATGGTTCTCCCGTGTCTTTAAAGTTATTATAAGGCTGCGCAGCTTAGAGTCCTGATAGCATGGTGTGATTCGGCATGTGATGTCAGGTGGAAAGAAATAGATCAGGCTGAAGTTCAAGTCCCACTCCCGGCCATTCTTGGGGATAAACCATTATTGTGTTCAATTTTAAACAAAGTATTCAAAGTATCTCACTGAGACATTACTCTAGAGCAGGGATTCCCAAAGGGGTGCGCGAGCTGCCGCTAGGGGGTGCGCATGGTGAAAAGTGTAATGGCTGCGGAGCTCAGAGAAGTCTGTCAAAAGTCACCATTAGCGTAGCCAGAAACTCATTTGTGGGTGGGCCTAAGAAAATGTAAGTGGGCCCAATAAACGTAATTGATAACAAGTATATTTTGATTGTGTGTGTGTGTGTGTGTGTGTGTCCTCCGCACATGCCCTAGCTCAGCGGTCGGCAATCCGCGGCTCTGGAGCCGCATGCGGCTCTTCCATCCATCTGATGCGGCTCTCTGTGCTTGTAAAATAATGAATGGATATTTAAATAAAATGCTTTATATTTTACTGCATAAATTTTACATGTAACCTAATTCTAAATGTAAAGATTGTCTGCGTAAACCTCAACAGGTCCAACCCGGTCTACTGTGTGACCGGGTTGACGCGTCACTCTTGTGCGTAATCATATCGGCGCTTACTGAGCTGAAGACGATGTGAGATTCTGGGACTCTCCTCAGACGCCACATTGGAGACAGGAAAAAGCACAATTCAGCCAAAGTTTCATCATCAGGGAACATTTTCTAAGTGACAAGTCTCTCTGAGAGACAGGGTTTGGAAAACTCTCGCTTCAGTGGAAGGAATCTTGTTGCTCTTGTTCTCCGATTGAGTAATATCACTTGATCAAGGCTTTCATGCATTCCACACTACAAAATAGGTAAAAGTATGTATGATTTGTGCTGATATCGTACCTGATTGATATCGGTATCGGTCAATACTGAAGGCTGCAATATCGGTATAGTACCGGAAGTGAAAAAGTTGTATCGGGACATACCTATTTTGGGCAGCCGGTTTTCAGTTGTTTTGTTGTATTTTGGTGTGTTTTCGGGTGTTTTGTTGAGGTTCTTTTACGGGATGTGTGTTGGTTGTTTTTAGTCTCTAGTTCTGATAGTTGTATTTTTGGTTGGTGTTTATTTTAAATTGTGAGTAGCAGTTCCATCTCGAGGAAGGGGACCGCAGTGCCGTTCAGCTGTTGGGTAAAGAAGTTCAATGAAATTTCAAGTTGCAGTTTCCTTGCTCTTGCTGATTGGTAGCTGTTAGCATTTTTGCTTTGCCTAACGTGTTGGCATGACTCATATTCACCTTCCCACAATAGGGTATGCAAACCTCTGGCCACAACAATTGTTAAAATGTGCCCCGCGATAAAAATAATTCACCAAATGCCCCTGGTAACAATTATAAAAATTCAGTTACTGCCTCTTATACTTGAGTTAGAATAAATATCCATTAAGTTTTCACAATAAAAAAGTAAGTCTCTACAATTTACACTTTAATTATAAAAGAAAAACAAGATTAAAAAAATCCTTTATAATAGCACCTCTCAAGAAAAAAATCATGAGGCGCTTCATAAAGTCGTCATAATTAGTGATGAGATTTATGGCTCCTTCGTGGGAGCCTCTCATTAGTCGATCGTTTACCTTAAAGAGCTCTTCAAAAGACTGGCTCCTTTGAATGAAGCGAAGCCATGAGATATGGGAAGGGGGTGTTAATGAGTAACTAAACCCCAAAATAACTTTTTTTTGCTAATTAACTGTATAATTAGGTTTTTACAAATGCAGTCTTTCTGTTTCTCTGCATTTTTTGACATGTTTGTTAAAACTTGATAAAATCCAGAATCTAGGTCTAAAAATATCTTAGTGATGCCTCCTGTGGCAGAACAGCAGCTACTGCATGTTAAACTTGTGATTGACTGGGGCTAGAACAATTTCACATCATCGGTACAGTCTACTCCCACTCCCCCTCCCTCCCAGGATGGAAATTCCCCACACTTGACCATGCCACTCTGTGCCTCCTGGCAACACCCACTTTCATGGCATTTTTCAAATCTTCACTAGGGGTGGAGTTACATTTTCTGATGGTGTGCAGTCCCTCTTTAAGAGCAACGTGTTCCTCTGGTGTCCGTGAGGGCACACAGTGTTTGGGTAAGCATTTTGCCTACGCCCGTCACAGCGGTGGGTGGGGGTTGAGTGTGTGCGCTTTGCCGGCTTCCGGGGAGGGTGGTTACAGGAAGACAAGATGAACGGCTCTCTACAAGGATTTGGCTCTCATCATTCACTTTAAAACCCCGTTCAAAAGATTTTAATTGTTTGCGAACATCACATCACTAGTCATAATTAAATTATTTAGGTCTCTACAACTTGGAGTTGAGTTGGCATAAAACAGGATTAAAAGTTTTTACATTTTAAAAATTTTATTCTGTACAGCTACTACTTGAGTTGGGAAAACTTAACTTAGAAAGTTGCGCTGACTTAAAAGTAAAACTTATAAGGATAAGTTTAATTAGCTAACTTAAATATTTGCTGACATTTGTTGCCTTACAATTTTGAGTTCCAACTTTTTTTACAGTGTAATGTGTAAATCAAGCAGAATTTGGGACGTTTTTTCATTATGTATTATTTATTATTATTCTTCTCCGCTAATTCCATATGGGCGCAGGAGCTAGAAAATGCCAGACAAATTTTGACATGGCAGTCTGATGTTTCAAAATTCACCCGTGTGAGAGCTGAGTTGTACACCTGTAAGAGTGGGGCTGAGCATGCACAGAAACAGATCTGTAGACTTGTAGTTGAAAATGTTACACACAACTTTTTTCACATGCATGTGAGTTTTTCTTACAAGTACACACTATATTTACAGGTTTATGCGTGTTGGTGTGCAGCTTCTCACATTCTACTGCGCACACAAACGCACACACACACACACACACACACACACACACACACACACACACACACACACACACACACACACACACAATTTTCAAGCTCAAATCATGTTGTACAAACAAGCAACAGACCTACAAGTTGATGCATATTGAAACAGGTTTGCCTTCATATAAATGGATTTTGTTTTTACCTTTGCTGACAGGTTTCGGCTTTCACTGCAGCCTTCATTAGAGCACCTCCGATTGGCGAAGCCAAAACAAGTCGGCAAAGGTAAAAACACACTCCATTTACTTAAAAAAAAAAAAGGAAGAATCTATCTGGACCTTTTCTGCAAATGAAGACATCAGAAGTGTCAGACCCAGATCTCTGTGGTTCTCTCACCTCTTCCTCCTCTCCGAAACCCATCAGGTCCCAGACGTAGTTGAGCCGCATTTGTCGCCTCTTCCAGTGCTCCATGAAGAGAACGGCTACAGGAACAGGAACCAAAGCAGGCCATTAAAACCAGAACTCATTCAGCTAAGCCTAAACTGAACCCAAACCAGAACCCAGACTCAGGTGGAGTTTCAGCTTTTGTCATCAGAAATTTGGGACCTCAGTGAGACAGACTCCAGGTTTTCGTTTAGGCTCCTCCCATCCAGCAGATCATCATCCTTTATGAGTGTCCCTCAATAAGGCGGCCTGCGGTCTGGACCCAGTCCGCGAATCTCTCTTTTCAGGCCCTTGAGTCGCGGTGCTTTGACGTTTACCTAGGCAGCGCGGTATTGTGCCCGCTCTATTTAAATATTAACAGGAAGACCACTGCCCCGTGTCACCTCCACAGCAGAGCAACGGTTCACTCTTCTCTGTGTTATCAACACAGTCACTCTGCTCATCTGCTTCAGCGGCGCGTTTTACTTTCACGTTCCTACCTGCTTCATCACGATTTTTCCTCCGCAGTTTTTAGGATGAGAAAATAGGTGTGTTCTAAATTATCGGCTAAAAGAAAAGTGGACAACAAAAGTAGACAGTTTAAAATTAATGGACAGAAAGATTCTTCCTCCATCCATGGGCTTGATTTGCCAAGCAACCATTTCAGTGAAAAAGGTTTCCTAATCACGAGGATTTTGAAGATACTTTTCTTCAGAAATCTGAGGTAAGAACAGCAAAAAAACAAACAAACAAAAAAAAAAAGAACAACGACGTCATCCTACTGTTACGGGTTTAGGCCAGGTTACCAGATGTAATTATTGCAGGAATCATTCAGCAAACGTGTTCAAGTCTGTACTAGTGGAAATACGCAGATTTATAGGGATCAATAACCCAGCACGAATCACCGTTTCCCAGTTAATTGCTCCTTAATGCAAATGACCTGAGAGTTTGTTTACATGATGTTAATAAACAAACTCTCACCTCATTGATCAAGAGGCAGAGATTCTAAACCATTGATTTCCTTGTTGTTGAATAAAGACAGCCTGGGTGATCAAAAGTAGCATGCCTAAAGGTCAAAGCCGTGTGTGACCTACATTTTATGTAAAGTTTTTCTTTCACCTTTTTCAATGTTAAACATTGAAAAAGGTGAAAGAAAAACTTCTTTTCTGAGCAAACCTTCCTAGTCACGTCACAAGGGGGAGCCCTTCCTCCACAAACCTGCTCGTCACCACCTTATGAATTTGGGCTCCACCTCCTCCAGCCTTGTCCATAAACCAAACACACTTGGACAGTATAAATCCAGCTTTACACAGTGACTGATACACAACAGTGAAGATGCACCAACTATTTTGTCAACCCAACCATCATCTGTAAGTGAAATGTATTGTTCTTTGTGCTATGGTATCACTAGCAGTTAGCACATGCTATTACGTTTTTGAGACTCTCGCCTCTGACTGGCTCGAAGGGCTCTCCTACAATTGGCTGTTTAATTTAGCAGCGAACAGCGGCCCAATCTCAATACTCACACTGCGCCCTGCGGTCTTCAGCACAGTGCACTTGGAGAAAGTGTGCAGTAGGGTTCGAGTGCGTAGTACACAAGTGTGCAAATAATTGTCGAATTGAGATGGAGCATTGCGTCATCGATCGCAACGCATGCCGTGATGCTGGTCTCTGTGAAACTTTTTTCAAAAACCTTTGTTAACAACTTTCAAACAAACAATAAAGCAATTATTTGAAATAAATGTAACTTCATTGCTGCTTTGTCTAAAACACTCAGAGCATCAAATAATCGTCCTAAAATGAACTAATTTCATTAGAAAATACATATTTTCAGAATAAGAACTTGAGCCTTTTCTCCCAAAGCAATGACTTGTGGGTAATACCCTTGCCCGAGGTCCGCATTGCTGTGGACTTGGGTGAAGTGCAGATTAAGGGTGCAATGGGGGCGTGGTCAACTTCCGCACTTGAGAATCTGGACACCCTACGCACTTACACCCCTGGCCGGGAACACACAAATGAAGGGTGCAAGGGTGCAAGTACGAGTATTGAGATTGGGCCATTTTCCCTCACTAAGCGCAGACTCCCCCCACCAACAGAACAGATGTTTTAGGGAGTTTTGCAAATAAAGTATGAATTTGGCGCTATAATAACCATTCTGTCCTGTTTAACAAAATATTGTTTACTTTTCTTTTATTTAAAAAGCTGAAAATGTAAAATCTGAACGTATAACTAGAACTGCAAGCAGTTAACGGGTTCCAAGCCAACCATCGACATTACCCCACCCGGCCCCACCCTCGCCTTCGCCATTCCTCACGTGGCCCCGCCCCAAAAACACGTTCTACTGCCGGCGTCCCGTCAGCTCACTTCAACCGGCGCAATGAAAGGAACACTTAGGATAACTCATTGAACCTTTTGCGCAGCGTATACGAATATCTTTCATAGGCATGGCTAACATCTCAATCCCTATTACAATACAGTTCCATAGTTTAATTTTTAAAGATGGTGGAGACTTAGTTAAGTCATGTGCTGTATGGAAAAGCAGTAGGTCAGGAGGTGGAGCGGATTTTCCAGTAATCGGAAGGTTGCATGCTTGATCCCGACTCTGAACAGAGAACAAAGAACGCTGCCTCGTCTCTCGGTGCTCCCCAGGGCAGCTGTGGCTCCAGTGTAGGTCATGCCCTCCAGTGTGTGGACTGTGTGTGTGAATGGGTGAAAGACTGATTGTGTTGCTTCATGCCTTGGAGGGTTGTTGAACCCTACTAAGGTGCTGTACAAATACAGGCAATTTACCAAGCCCTCTCTTTGTGGCCCCCAAACGCAATTGACGAATTGGTTGTTAGAACTAAGTTTAGCATTTTTTGCGATCTCGCAAAAAAATCTAGTTAGGCGGAAATGGGCCTGGCCAACATAAACATGCTGAATCATCCAAGGATCATGCACATATAAAGATTTTGACTGCAGGACCTATGGTTTGGGAGCTAGTAGCTGAAGCGCATTCACGTCCGCAATAGCGCCACCTAGGTGACTCCGGGTACAAATTTGGAAATCTGAGTTGCGGTCAGGATTTTCTATCAGACTGCCATGTCAGAATTTTTCTGGCATTTTCTGGCTCCTGCGCCCATATGGAATTAGCGGAGAAGAAGAAGAAGAATAAATAATAAATAATGAAAAATCCACACAAAACAATAGGGTTCCAATGCCCGTTGGGCTTGGAACCCTAATAAGTCACACTGCTGGACTTACTTTATCTCTTGGCTCTCAAGCATTGAGGTTGTCCTATTAAAGCAGAGTATATAGGATAAACAGGTGTGCCTTACCTGTGTATGAAACATAATAAAACTGCATTATTCTGGCCATCTATGTGCAGCAGGTCTGTTTCTCTTATAGAATAATGAAAACTGGTGAAAATAGCTCTAAATAATAATCAGCATTGAATTAAATTTTGATTAAGTGATACACATTATAACAGATGATGAGAGATGTGCTCTAACTTTTAAACACAACATAAGATAACCTAATATTAAGAAGATAACCCTGGAGCCAACAGATATAAAGTCAGTCTAACAGTGTGATGAAATGAAACAAGATTTAGTACAAGCTCACATTTGACATTTTTCAGCTTCTTTTAGAAAAGAAACTGAAACTGGTTTGTTGCAAAATAAAACAGAATGTCAGGTTAGGCTCTGCTGCCTGTATCTCTTTGCATGGCTTCTGGGAATCATCCAAGGCCGGATTATAATATGGGCAAACTAGGCACAGGCCCAGGGGCCCACAGCCACAAGGGGGCCCACGCAAGCAGCAGTCTTTTTTTTTGTGTGTGTGTGCAGCAGTCTTAACGTTGGAGAAAAATGTTGAGAAGTAATTAAAATTGCACCCACATTTTCTAAGTTAACACACATTTCTTTTAACAACGGTAGTTTTGCATCTTTACTAATCCTGTTTCAGCCCTCTCCCCCCTCCCCATGCACAGCAGCTGCAAACTCACTGATGCACCTGCAGCCTCTCAGAGTTCCTGCTGATCCAAACATTGAAAGAATCATTTAATTTTCTGTTCCTCACTTCTGATTACCTTCAATGGTGTCTGTTTGTTGCAACCAGCAGGTACAAAAACTAACTTGTTTTTATTTGACTATTTTTCTGTCCTGTCTGTTTATTATCTTCCTGCATCTCCTCTCAGTCCTGAAGAAAAATGGCTACATGGCTTCATATATATTCACCTTATGAGTTACCTTTGAACTGCAGTTAAAAAAGATCTACCGACCGCAAAAATAGTGAAGTGCGCGCCGGCTGCACCGGTGAGGTGAAGTCACCGGAGGACGAAACAGGTTATGCGCCGCTCCGCAGCAGTAAAACACATCAGGCACAAATAAAAGACAGAAAATATAAAAGGATATGAGCCGACATAAACGATCACATGTAAAACATTTTTTGAGGTGGCGACACTTTGAGAATGTTACTGTGGCCGTTCTCAGGACGCATGTGTCTGGAGCGTGTCAACAATCAGAGCTCTGTGCCTCTCAGCTCTAAATAATACCAGCAGAGTCCACATGAATAATGTAATATAAATAGAACCATGATCATTTACGGGCTAAAAAATGGTCTACAGTCCATCTTCCCTAATGTGTTTGTGGCCCTGCAGATTTTTCTAACTCTACCTGCACTTCTTATATGTACCTCTCACCGTTCATAAGGGTACCGCACCATCAGCTACGTCAGCCCAGACAAGAGCAGAGCAAATAGAGAAAGAATAGAGAGGATAATTCTGTCTGGATGTGGATGGAGATTACATTTTACAGCAGCCTGATCATCATTTAAATACGTAAACCATTTCCTGTCTTCTAGTCCATGCTATCGGCATTATTTTAATTGGTGTGTGTGTGTGTGATTGTGTGTTTTCCACCACAAACACTGGTCTAACCAACCAGACCAGTGTGCCCAGTAACATATTAATGTTACAATTAAACAGTTTCACTTCATGTAGGCTAGGAACATTTCACCTGCCGCGGCCCGACCGCTTCTGCTCCACATAAACTTTGTGCATGATCAAATGTCTCTACAGGTGCTTTCTGAGCTGAAGAGGCTATTCTGCCTCAGACAGACTGGATGTGTCATGCGTCTCCATATTGGAGACGGGAACAAGCGCTATTCAGCCAAAGTTTCATAATCAGAGAACATTTTCCCAAGTGATACATCCCTCAGAGAGATCGGGTTTCCAGACCACTTCAGTGGGAGGAAATATTACCGCATCGCTGTGGTTCTGTGCTGCGCTGCGAACCCCTCTACAGATCTTCAGCCCACTGTCTACCGTGTGCGCAGCCAGCAATTCAACGTGAGCACATTTTACCTACGTGGTACTCCCCAGTGCTGGTAATGTCCTTGTGCGTCTCTCATAGAGTTTTAAATATCTCCTTGTTGTCTTCCTCGGTCCTCCAAGCTCCACTTATTCAGTCATCGCCAAACCTTGAGGGGAGCCCTCCTGGATTCACCTCTTCACACTGGCAGTCCCTCTCGTTTCCCCTGGATCCTAAGTCCTGTTCAGTAAATTCTCTAGCTGTTCATTGGAGTTCATCATCATCTTCACCATGTCATCTCCTGCCGTGCATCACCTGCCCGCTCTACAGCTGTTACCATAAGAGCTTTTCAAAACATCATCTATCTACTTCAGATGTATACTCACTCTCCAGTTCTACAGTGTACATTGTCCGTCACCTCAGCAGACCCAAGCCTGGCACAACTTCTCCTCCCCAGAGTAACTTAGCTTCAGATCATTCAGTTTAATCCCAACTCAGACTCACCACTCTTCTCCATTACAGTCCTTCACCCAGGTTCCCATTCCCTGTGAGGATCTTAACATGCATTTTCTAAAAAATTGTTTAAACTGCTTCCTGTCTCCTGAGGGTTTCTTTCATGTGGGTCAGATTTACAGCATATCTAAAAACATGACAGAATGGATGTTAATAGCGATGAGTTAACATTTTCTTCAAAAAATTCCTCAAGATCTGGCTGTAAACGTAAAAATCTGCAGCAACAGTTTCCTGTTACATGAAATAACCAATCATAGTACAGCCCTTCCAGCCAATCAGAGGCAAGAAACGTGGGGTCTTCCTCGGACATCCTACGATTCCAGATAACGCTAACTGGAAATTTTGAGGTTCAGGCTTAGGCTTCTGGGGAGCCAAGCATCATATTCATGTCCTGGATGAGTGGGAGGGGTAAACAGGTCAGATCAGAGCTCAAATAGAAAGGTTAGAATGGTCTGTATCAGGGCTCATGGGACAGGTGAAAGCCAAAAGAATTTATTTTTTAGATTGCTGATTAACTGGATTATTTGTCTCTAATGTTCCCTCCTGAGTGGAACCAGATGGTTGGTGTGCCATGATTTTGTGAGACACCATGTGTCATCTGATGTCCTGCTGCAGCAGGGCTCTGAGTAGACTTGGCCTATAAGTTTCACACGTGTCTGTCAATCAGGCTTCTCAAATCTAGACTATTGGTTTATTTATTAGTTTGGTTTATGAAGCAGTTATACATCTGTTGGTATGTTCTGGTTTACTCTGGGATGTGTGCTCACCCCAGAGGGCCATGAAGATGGAGAAGAAAACTGTGGCTGGGTTGTCGAACAGGTGGCTGGCTCGAGCTGTGCCACAAGCTGTCACCAGCTTCCAGTAGCTGCAGGCGCGGTCGCACAGCGGGCACATGGTGATGTTGTTTCTCGGATCACAAATCTCCATGCTTACAAGAAAAAGACAAAACAGATAATTAGTGGGAAGTGCAGTGTGCAATGTGAGAAAGAGTGTGTTTGTCTATGTGTGCATGTGTTTGTGTGTCTTTGTATGTGTTAGTGTTGTGTTTGTGTATGAGTTTGTGTGTGTGTGTGCGTGTGTGCATGTGTTTGTATGTGTTTCTGTATGTGTCTGTGTGTGTGTATGAGTTTGTGTGGGTGCGTGTGTTTGTGCATGTGTTTGTGTCTGTATATGTGTGTGTGTGCATGTGTTTGTGTTTCTGTATGTGTATGTGTGTGTGAGTGCGAGTATGAGTGTGTGTGTTTGCATGTGTGTGGGTATGAGCGTGGGTTTGTGTGTGTATGAGTGTTTGTGTGTATGTGTGTGTGTACTTGTTTTTATAGGTTGGACACATTTTAACTTGAACCTGTACTGTGTGGACATTTTTACACTGTACAGGTCCACACAATGGTAAGCACCCTAAAACTTGGTTTTAGAGGTATGGTGTGAATTAGCTTTTAGTTTAGGTTAGGGTCAGGAAAAGAACCCCATTGGTTATGGTTAGAATTAGAGTATAGGTTAGGCATAGTGGAGTCAGTAAAATGAATGGAAGTCAATTGAGGTCCACACATACAAGGTCATACAAGTTAGTGTGTGCGTGGGTGTTTATGTATGTGCTGGTTTTCCCTGCCAGCTTCATGACAAAATGTGGGTGAACCCTTTCGACAAATATGATGCAGGCCAGGTCAGCAGGGAGGGAACCACAAGGAAGCAGGGACTGAAAAGTACAGACAGTAGGGGACAATACTGTGCTCTTAGAAAAAGTGGCCAAACCGAACCGCATCCTCCTGAGTCAAAATGAGTAGTGCTGTTAGAAAAGTCCTAATGAGATATTTGGATCATTGTGGCTGTGTGATCTTGATCCGACACAACGTCACCTCCTTGAACCGTCACCTTATCGTGGTGGAGGAGTTTGAGTTCCCTAATGATCCTAGGAGCTATGTTGTCTGGGGCACTTTGTGCCCCTGGTAGGGTCTCCCATGACAAATGGGTCTTAGGTGGAGGGTGAGACAAAGAACAGTTCAGAAGATCTTTCATGGAAGTAAAAACCAAGAGTCGGAGTACCCGGCCCGGAGGGTTACCGGGTCCCACACTGGAGCCAGGCCTGGGGTTGGGGCCCGTGAGCGAGTGCCTGGTGGCTGGGCTTTCGCCCATGGGGCCCGGCCGGGCCCATATCGAACTGGATACATGGGCTCATCCAACTGTGGACCTTCCACCCGCAGGAGGAACATGAAGGGTCTGGTGCAGTGTGGATCGGGTGGCAGACCGAGGCGGGAGCCTTGGCGGTCCGATCCCCGGACAAGGAAACTGGTTATTGGGACATGGAACGACACCTCGCTGGCGGGGAAGGAGCAGGAGCTTGTGGCGGAGGTTGAGCTGTACCGGCTAGATATAGTCTGACTCACCTCGACACATAGCATCGGCTCTGGAACCCAAGTCCTTGAGAAGTCCTTGGACACTCTCCTGGAGTTGCTCCGAGTTAGAGGTGGAGGGCTGGGGTTGGCTTTTTGTTAGCCCCAAGACTCTCTGCCTGTGTGTTGGGGTTTACCCCAGTGGATGAGAGGGTAGCTTCCCTGCGCCTTCGGGTCGGGGAACGTGTCCTGACTGTTGTTTGTGCTTATGCGCCAAATATCAGTTCAGATTACCTACTCTTTTTGGAGTCCCTGGGACGAGTTCTAGATAGTGCTCCATGAGGGGGCTCCATTGTCCTGTATGGGAGACTTCAATGCTCACATGGGCAATGACAGCATGACCTGGAGGGGTGTGACTGGGAGCAATGGCCCGCCTGATCTGAACTCGGGTGGTGTTTCGTTACTGGACTTCTGTGCAAGCCGCAGTTTGGCCATAACGAACACCATGTTCGAACATAAGGATGCCCATCGGTACACTTGGAACCAGGGCAGCCTAGGTCGCAGGTCGATGATAGACTTTTTAGTCGTATCATCTGACCTGCGGCCGTATGTGTTGGACACCCAAGTGAAGAGAGGAGCAGAGCTGTCAACTGATCACCACCTGGTGGTGAGTTGGATCAGATGGCAGGGGAAGATGCCTGCAGACCTGGCAGATCCAAATGCATAGTGAGGGTCTGCTGGTAACGCTAGGCAGAATAACCTGTCAAGATGGTCTTCAACTCCCACCTCCAGCAGAGCTTTGACTACGTCCCGAGAGCAGTGGGGGACATCGACTCCGAGTGGGCCTTGTTCCACTCTGCGATTGTTGAGGCGGCTGTTGCTAGCTGTGGTCGCAAAGTGGCCGGTGCCAGTCGTGGTGGCAACCCCAGTACCCGCTGGTGGACACCAGAGGTTCGGAGAGCCGTCAGGCTGAAGAAGGAGGCCTACAGGGCGTGGCTGGTCTGTGGGTCTCCGGAGGCCGCAAGAGGGTACCGGATAGCCAAGCGGGGTGCAGCAGTGGCAGTTGCCGAGGCAAAATCTCAGGCGTGGGAGGAGTCTGGTGAGGCCATGGAGAAAGACTATCGATCGGTGCCAAAGAGGTTCTGGCAAACTGTCAGGCGCCTCAGGAGAGGGAGGCAGCAACTCGCTAACACTGTTTACAGTGGGGATGGGGAGCTGCTGACATCAACTGGGGCTATAGTCGGGCGGCGGAAGAAATACTTTGAGGAACTCCTCAATCCCACCTACGCGCATTCCGAGGAGGAGCCAGAGCCGGGAGACCTGGGGATGGACTGTCTAATCTCTGGGGCAGAAGTTGCTGAGGTAGTCAAACAACTACACAGCGGCGGAGCACCGGGGGGCGGATGAGATTCGTCCTGGGTATATCAAGGCTATGGATATGGTAGGGTTGTCGTGGTTGACACGTCTCTACAACATTTCATGGTCATCGGGGGCAGTTCCTGTGGAGTGGCAGACCGGGGTAGTGGTCCCCATCTTTAAGAAGGGTGACCTGAGGGTATGTTCCAACTATGGGGGATCACACTCCTCAGCCTCCCTGGAAAGGTCTACTCCAAGGTACTGGAGAGGAGGGTCCGATCGATAGTTGAATATCAGATTGAGGAGGAGCAAAGTGGTTTTCGTCCTGGCCGTGGAACTGTGGACCGGCTCTATACCCTTGAAAGGATGATGGAGGGGGCATGGGAGTTTGTCCTACCAATCCACATGTGTTTTGTGGATTTGGAGAAGGCTTATGACCATGTCCCCAGGGGCACCCTGTGGGGGACGCTCCAGGAGTATAGGGTGGGTGGCCTTTTGTTAAGGGCCATTCAGTCCGTTTACCAGAGTTGCGTGAGTTTGGTCCGCATAGCCGGTAGTAAGTCGCACCTGTTCCCGGTGAGGGTTGGACTCCGCCAGGGCTGCCCTTTACCACTGGTTCTGTTCATAACCTTTACGAACAGAATTTCTAGGCGCAGCCGTGGTGTTGAGTGTGTCGAGTTTGGTGGCAGAAGAATCTCGTCTCTGCTTCTTGCGGATGATGTGGTCCTCCTAGCTTCATCCAGCTCTGAACTTCAGCTCTTGCTGGGTAGGTTCGATGGGGATAAGGATCAGCAACTCCAAATCTGAGACCATGGTTCTCAACCGGAAAAGGGTGGCTTGCCAACTCCGGGTCGGGAGAGAGGTCCTGCCTCAAGTGGAGGAGTTTAAGTATCTCGGGGTCTTGTTCACAACTGTGGGTAGGAGGGATCGGGAGATCGACAGGCGATTGGTTCGGCGTCTGCAGTGATACGGACGCTGAGCCGATCTGTTGTGGTGAAGAGGGAGCTGAGCCAGAAAGCCAGGCTCTCGATTTAACGGTCAATCTACGTCCCAATCCTCACCTATGGTCATGAGCTTTGGGTAATGACCGAAAGAACAAGATCACGAATACAAGCGACCGAAATGAGTTTCCTCCGTAGGGTGGTCGGACTCAGCCTTAGAGATAGGGTGAGGAGCTCGGAAATTCGGGAGGGACTCAGAGTAGAACCGCTGCTCCTCCGTATCGAAAGGAGTCAGTTGAGGTGGTATGGGCATCTGGTCAGGATGCCTCCTGGACACCTCCCTGGGGAGGTGTTTCGGGCATGCCCTGCCGGCAGGAGGCCCTCAGGTCGACCCAGGACACGTTGGAGAGGTTACATCTCCAATCTGGTCCGGGAACGCCTTGGGGTCCTGCCGGAGGAGCTGGTAGAGGTGGCTGGGGAGAGGATGGTCTGGAGCTCCCTAGTTGGGATGCTGCCCCCATGACCCAGAACCGGATAAGCGGAGGGAGACGACGACAACGGAGCAAAGAACAAAGGACTGAGCAAACGTCCCTGAGAGATCCCGTGTTCAGGATCATGCACTGTAACATCTGTTATCTTTCTCACAACCAGTTAGTAATCATTATTTGGCCTGTACGTCTCAGACTAAGATTTTCATACATCTCCAGGAAAAAGGATATTTGTTTGGTCACAAAGCTAGACTGAAAAATGCAAGTGAGCGTATACCTGGGTATGTTATCATCCACAGTGGCACATCCGTAGAGGAACACGATGACACCAATGATGGCAGCAGGGATGAGCATCTGTGTGTAGACCCCTAACCAGGCAAAATAGAGGCCCACTTTCTCCCCAAAATACTTCCTGTAGGAAGAAGTGCATGGTCAGCATCTATTGTACATCAGTTACAACCACCCACATTTCAGTCACGCTTCAAAGATCATGTCCACTCCATGTGCGTGTGTGTGTGTTAGTCTTTATGTTTAAAGTGACAATGTGTAGTTTTGCATCATTAATCTCCGGAAATATCTATAAATTAAATAAAAGACACCCGGTAGTTTTTTTTTCAACAACCGGGTATCTTATGTCAATTATAACAACATTTCAATAGATATTTCTGGAGATTAATGATGAAAAACCACACATTGTCACTTTAAACGCATGCATGGGAGCGGGTCTCTGGGCGACGAGAATGCATTTACTGATTTGTAACAAATGGTTACAAAACTTTCAGCACTACTAAACGTTCTTTTACACATTCACCTCATCACTCATTGCCAGTGACGAAAGGGAATCTGATGTTCTTGTTATTTTGCTGGAAGTTGCACTCCCAAGGATTTTTGACCCTAATGGCCATCCGTTGGTAAGGTCTTAATTGAACACAAAAATAATGCTTTCTTGCAATGATTTAGGTAAGCACTGCCCCCTATCGCCAGGGAAAATACACACTCTCTCTTTAAGTGGACAAAATAATAATAATAAATGTTATTTAAAGTGCCTTCAGGGAACACAAGGTCACTGTACAACAAATAATAAAAATCTAGTTAAATGGAAAAAAAAAGTTAAATGTTTAAAACAGTGAAAAACTAATCACTTGTGAAAACTCTAGGGTAAGCAGAACAACAATCAGAGAACGAAACGATAACACTATCTGTACGCAGTCTTAAAAAGATGAGTTTTTAGTTTAGATTTAAAGATGAGGAAGGAGTCCGAGTTCTGGGTGGCTTGTGGCAGAGAATTCCAGAGGTGGGGAATACTGAAATACTCTGAAATATCTGAGGCCCATGGAGGTAAGTTAAGGCGGAAGGATGGCACAGTAAGGTGGACAGTAAATGACGATCTTAGGGACTACTCCCTAAGATAGTCATTTACTGTAGAAACAACGTGAATGAAATCAGATAGATATGGTGGAGAAAGTTTATGAAGAGCTTTGAAAGTGAGAAGTAAGACTTTGAACTTAATTCGTTGTTTTACTTGGAGTTGATGGAGTTGCTGACGGACCGGACTGATGTGGTGAGATAGAAGAGTGCTGGTGATGACCCGTGCAACAGAGTTCTGAACTAATTGGAGCTTGTGGAGGGTTTTTTGAGGTAGACAAGCTTGCGTTCTTAGTCACTTTCGACGGGCATTTAAAATTGTGGGCATTTTTCCGTCACCACCTCTGAGCTACTACCAGTTCACCTACTGAAATAATTATAGATTCACTGGGATAAAAACAATAAAATTAATCTCTTACTAAATAGAATATTTACTAAGAAATCACAATGTAGCCATAGAAACACCACTTGGTATATATGTTGTGTGTGTGGGTGTGTGTGTGTGTCTGCTCTCAATCCCCAGTTAAGTCGTGGCAGATGGCTGCTTCCTCCAGGATCCTCAGGAAGCTCTTCCTTTTAAAGGTGAACTATGCAAGAATTGAGTAACAGTGACATCCTGTGGTCAAATTTGGTTACTGCAGTTTCAGTTTCTCTGGGTTACCAGTTAGTGAACGGAAACTCAAGTTTATGTTTTAACAACCATGAAATACTATCTGTGTTTTCTCAATTATAAACTACTTAAAAAAAAACAATATACTATACCATACCAAGTTTATTGCTATAACACATTTTAAAACAGCAAGGCAGCTGATCAAATTGATGAACAAAGATACAATCATAAGAACAGCATAAGAAAAATCAAACAGTGAGATATAATTATAAAATAGTATTCAAAGGCAAGATAATATAATACAGTAATATATAACAGGGTTTCCCCCAGCGCTTTATAAGCCTGGCGGCCGATCACGAACGGCACAACAAAACTAGAGCCCTCCATCAGCTGATACTGGTGAGAAACAGCAGCAGAACGAATAAATGCAAATAAATTGATGTTCACAAAATGTTGCAAAACATTTATTTAGTCGTGTCAAGGTGCTGAAGGAGAGTGCACTAGCACCGTGTCCTCAGGGAGATTAGTTATTATTTATCAGCGTGAGGATCTTATTTATCTATTTCTACCTTATTTGTAAACTATTTATTTACAGGTCCATCAGTTAATGTAATAATTGTCCCAACCACAGCTGCACCCCCCACCCCGGTCTCACAGCAATCAGGGGCAAGCTGCACGTGTTTAGTGCGCCGCATGCGCACATTTAGCCGTTTTTAGTGGCGCAGGAGCCCACAGGTACGGTGTGTGTCACTCACCCTGGTTAATCCAACAGGGAGCCGGCTCTGAGAGCCATTTCTTTAGCGACTGACACATCACTACATCATTTCCTTTCCTATTGTCCTGAAGAACGGTCCGGAGCGCAGGCGGAGTGTTTAGCTAACCTGCAGGAAATGTCAACGACAGTTATCCAGAAAGAAGCTAAGGGTTACCAGAGATGTTTCTGAGGTGTTCGCTAGGTACTTTTAAGATTTAAAAAGTCAAGAAGGGGGTCTGAGAAGCTGTTAGAAATAGCGTCAAAGTTGCTAAGTTGGCAACACTGTGGGAGGAGCGCTTCATTTGCAACTCAGGGCAGCGCAAGTGGGAGGAGCAAATAATCGGCTTGTTTTGCTTTCATAATCGTTCAAAACTCAGATCGTAATTGGGATTTAAATTTGATTAATTGAGCAGCCCTACCCTTCAGGATCCCCCTAATAATAA